TTTTTTTTGTACAGCTATAGTAGAGATTTGTTCAATATTTGTAGGTAAAGATTTATTGAAAATGGCGATATAGACCTCAGAGCTGTTACCTAGTTTGAAGATTGTATGTACTGTACTATGGTAGGAGTTTATGTATCTCATACGCTGTGCTATGTGGTGGGGCCCCAGGTGGAAGGTTTGAAACTGGATTCTCAATTTTTAGCAAAAAAGAAAAAAAGGCACATAGTTTAAAAAGTTTCTCATTTTGTGCAATATAATCTAAATAAAGTACAGACCATCTGCATATTTTGTAGCAAATGGTGGCAAAGCAGACTCAATGCACTGTCGACATCATTGCCTGTTTTTTTCTTTCTTTCTTTTTTTTTTTTTTTTTGTGCTGGAAGTCTGTATCTTGACAATTTAATAAATCAGCTGGAACTGATAGAAATTCACATCTCCCATAGTCTCTATGAAAGTCAAACTGGAGGTCCTGTTGTCGCAGCGCATTCGGTGGTGAGGCTGTTGTGTGCGCGGATGAGGGGTAGCAGAAGAGATTTTTTTACATTTAGAGTGGTTAGGCTGAAGAGTGTTCAATTGGCAGGCAGAATTTTTCCTCTTCCTCCCGCTAGTTGTGCAAGACAGGGGAAGAGTTTTCTCTGCCTTCCCTTTCCTTGTCCCCACCCCCACCCCACCATTTCCTTTCTCACCTCCTCCCCTCCTCCCAGCCCTTCTACCACCCACCCCCGCAGGCAGGCGGGCTGCGCGGAAGGCTCAGCTGCTGGCCGGGGAGGGGCGCCTTTAGAGAGGACGGGATTCCCAGCTCCTTGGGTCTGGGTCCGGCGCTGGCTAGGAGATGGACGTTCTCTGCGCGGGTCTGCGTACCCGTTGTGCGTCGCGGTGACGGCCGCCCTTGGGCAGCGAGCTTTCGGCGTGCTCCGATCCTCTCCGCTCCCCTTCAGAGGGTGGAGACAACTGTTTCTAGTTTTGAATTTTTTTTTTTTTTTTTACGTTGCATCTTTGCGTGTGCGCAGAGGTGAAGCTGGTGGCGAACAACGCCGCCGTTCTTGATCTCTAGCTGCGATGAGGAAAAGGGGGTGAAGGTTGGGGAGAAGGTGTCAGTTTCGGCCTCCCCCCTCTCCCCTGGAACCATGGAGCTGTGGGGGAGCTGAGGATGGAGGACGCCTGGGGGCCTCAGGGCGCGGCGAGGTAGACAWAGCAAGCGAGCGGGAGACTGGCGAACGAGGATGCGGCGGGTTGGGTGGAGGGACGCAGCACGGCCACTGCGCGACGCGAACCGCGACCTGAGTGCCCGTGTGGACTTGAYAGCGGCTAAATGTAAGGGGACCAAAGGGCAGAGCTTCGGTACCATTTCTGGCTCTCCTTGCCCCGCCGCCGCGAGCGCTCGGGCGCATGCCGCTGCAGATTCTGCAGACGCGTGGGGACGGACACCCGTGCTGGTGACTCCAGCCCCTGGTAGGGAGGGAAGCCACTGGGCCGTGGGGTGGGAGGAAGSGAGAGAGCAAACCCGGGGAGGAAACGCCTGCCGCACCCGCGCGCCCCGGGCCTTCACCACGCCTGCCCTGTGGGCGGGCTCTTAGGCCGCCCGGGAACCAGCTCCCTGCGGGCCCCGGCGAGAAAGGTGGCTCCGCATCTTGATTGTTTTCYCCGAACGGCCGACTCGGGGCTCCGAGGTTGGCGGCGGAGCGGGCACGATCCACAGAGCGCGCGCTCCCTGCTCTCTGGGGACCGTTTGCCTGGCCAGCCCAACCCCATCCCCTTTTCACACCCGGATCTGTCCTGGAGCCTGGCACAGGCCCTGGCTGGCAAGAGTACCGGGCACGCGCGCCCCGGCCTCTCTTCGGTGCCTTCACCTCCTCTCCCTGGGGGCCGCGCGGAGGTAGGCGGGGAGGCGCGTTGGGGCCCAGCGCGCCAGCCACCCAGCTCAGCTCCCCGAGCGGCGGCGCCTACAATGGAGGAGGTTTGCAGTGGCTAATTGAAACTCGGTGCAAAATCACGACGGCTCTAATCTACTGAATTGATTTACCAAGACCTGGCCTCCCGTTTCGTTGAGATTTGGTGAGACCTAAGGGAAGGGTCCGCACTGTAACCGGAGCTGCTGAGCCAAAGGGGCCCCGCGCCCGGCCCTCCTCCCCTCCCTCCGCCCTGCGCCTGGCGCAGCCCCTCCCCCTCCGCGCCCGCCGCGGGCTCGGGCCTCAGCGACCTCCCGCGGCTGCGGGCGAGCCTCCCCGCCCCCACCCGGGATGCGCGGCCAGCGGCTGGGGCTGCGGACCCACCGAGGTCTGTTCGGTGGCTTCTCCTTTCCGTGAACCTCAGATTGCAGTAATACTCTTGGGAAAAGAAAGGGCTGATGGTGCTGAGGCTCTCAGTTCGGAACTCGACTTCTGAGTTGTTTACCGCGTTCTCCCCTCTCCCCCAAATGGTCGACTAATGTAGCCGTCGGGGGGGACATTTGTTTGAGCCACGAATAATTCAACCAGCGGTTTACAGTTGACATTTTCTCTTGCTGGTGATTTTACGTGGCGGCCCTCTGCTGCAGTTCTAAAACTTACTGAAAACAAACGCTTTTATAAGGCTGATTCTATGTATTTGGCAGATCTTAAAATTTTGCATGCGTTTTATGTTTTAAATATAGATGAATCTTGGGCATTTTCTGTGGTGAGGCATAAATTGGTAATATGTAATAATTTGACTTAAGAATGGAAACACGATCACGACTTTTTTTTTCAGCTATGTGGCGAAGTTTTGGTAGGAAAATAAGACAAAAGTAGGTGGTTGGCGATCAAAATTAAAAACCTATTAGAACTCAGGACAGGCGCTTAATTGCGCTTTTAACAATATTTAAGGCTGTTTTTTATGAATGCATTGTGAAAATCACTCCAGTGAATTCTTTCTTGAATGTCTAGAACATAATATAATACACAAGGTATTCTTGCCACTGGATAGGTTTCAATAAAGGTTTAATTCCACTCACCCCACCCCACCTTTTTTTTTTTTTTTTGGTCTCTTAAATAAGTCTTTTTTTAAACTGAGCATTGACAGAATATCTTGAAATGGTAACCTAGGGGTGGGGTGGTTGTCCTGTGCACAGCAGCCTTGCCAGTTGGGTATCCTGCTGTTGATAACTAGTTCACAGACCGAATGCATTTTATTAAGATTTCCATCTTTAAGAACTTAAACCAGCATTCTCTTATTAATTATTGCTATGGAAATACTTTCCAGTTCTTACACTCTGATATGCATCCCTTTTATTAAAAAATGCTAATAAAAGGCAGTGTACTTAAACTGTGCTTTGCAACTATTATGTATGTTATGAATGACTACAGTCACTGGGCAAATTATTTGTAGAATGATTATCCTTTAGCTAGAAAAAAGTCATTGCAAGTCTTGGGCAGAAATGTTTCTTTTTAATGTTAATCAAGGGGAAGTGATTTGAATATGCATGCATGTAGCAGTCAGGATGATTTAGGTTTTGTTTTTTTGGTGAGGGAAAAGACTCAAAAGGCAAGACTTAGTTTTTCTCTGGGAATCTCAACTCATCTTGATACTTGTATGGTACAAGAATTGTACATTTTTCACTTCAGAATTTAAATGAGTTTTGCCCAAGGAATCTGAGAAATAAAACAAATAAGTTGCTCTATTTTCAAGTAGTCATTCAATATAAATATATTATATCATTCTTAACTTTTTTATTCTCTGATATGGTTAATGATATGTATATTCTTACTTTTTCTCCTAATGGGCATATGTATCTTTGTGGACACTTTGGAGAGAGGTTTTCTTGGACTCTCCCATTTATAGAATCTTTATACTCTTTTACTGCAAGGTCCTCTGCTTTTAACAGATTTCTGAGGCAACTATATTTGTGCTTTTTTCTTACGTAGGAAGACCAGCGAAATAGTTTACTGAGTTGTCGATTTTATCAGTAGATAAGAAACTTTCTTTATTACAGTTTCAGGGAAGATTTTTTCAGGATATTTCTCAGTTATTCTAAGGGCCAAATTTTATAAAATTTCCATTAGGAATGTCAGTTTCCAATACCCTTTGTATAGCCTACGGCCTGTGGGGATAACACGAATGAGCCTTACGTGTCCTAACACAGGAATTTACAAGTTCCCAAAGCAACCGTCTCCACGTCATAACTCCTGACATGCTTTTCTGAGATTGGGCTTATTTTAATTATCGATTCTTTCTCACTGTTCATTCTATTTGATTTATTCCACCGAATCCCCTTTGATTTGATGATCTGAAAAATTCTGCTCTTTGATAACAACTCAGGTTTTGGGTTTCCTCCCCCMTTTCTGTGGAGCCTGTGTTTTCCAACCACAATAAAAGTTAAACCGAATGTAAGAGACCACACTCTCTTCCATTTTSCTTTCTGCTGGCTTTTTTTCTTGATTTTAACTTACCTTCATTGTTTTCCATTGTATTTTTTTAACACTACCTATATCCATTAGCTGCCTAATTAGTTTATCTATTCCATGTGGATGCAGTGAGTTTATAAGAGAATTTCACAAACAAGTAGTTTTTTAGTGAACTTAAAATAAACAGAATTTTAAAGGAGACCTATTTTTATACTCAAGAAAAGCACAAAAGTGCAGAAAGTATAAAATGGCTTACAAAGGGAAACATAAGTTCATAATGTTCATGTATAAAAGTAATAATTTTATCGGGTAGAGAGATTCTTTCCAGACCCAGTACCTCTGTCAGTGCACAGACAGGATGGTTTGACACGGTTTGAGGACTTCTGGTCCCTGCAGTTGAAAACAGACAACTTTGTGGGAAAAACAGACCATAGACAGCAGCAGGGCCATGTTGAGAGGTGGCTCTAAGGAGCAACTGCTGGATCAAAGCAGCCTGGATGTGCACATGTGGAGGCTTCAGTCTCACTGTTTGATCAAACTTCTTTTACGTAGTCACGTAGACTTGATTTTCTCTTCTGTAAAAATGACAAAATGCAGCAATATGACAACAAGTTTGAAGACGCATACAAAATAGAAATTCCTCCAGGGTCCTCAAAGAGATTTTTTTAATGTGACGGTTATTTTACTAGAGAGGTTACATTCCCCCTTCTCAAAAAGAGCAACTGGAAATAATCACATACCATAGAAAGAATTTTGATCAAATGGATCTTGACAAAGGGCCCTCTATCACATTTTTCTTCACCCAGTTTATGTTCACAAACAGTACGCCTCATCCCTCGGGTCACACAGGGAGACGTTGTACGCCACTGTCCTCGGTTTCCCTCTTGTGTACTTTTGCTCTTGTACATATGTTGTGGGTTCAGAGTCTTTTGCATTTGTTCTGTGACACCTTTGTTTGAATGGACTGTTTTAAAACGGAGGCCTGTTTTTCAGGTTGGGGACTCCTAGTGGCCATGGTGTCCTGCAGTGCTCCSAGGCAGCCACCAGGACAGACGGCCTGAGCCGTCTTCAGCATGACACTGTGGGGCCACACAGGAAACTGACTTTCAGAGCCACTCCAGGTTTGGGAGCAGCGGAAAGCCGCAAAGCCCTTTGTGTAGAAGTCTGAGTGGTTTGTGGGGGGGACCTTTTAGAGTTGCATGCCGGCGCGGGGCCTGGCGCGGGGCCTGGTGTGGGGACAGAGAGGGCCGAGCTACCTGAGGCAGTGCGCTGGAGCACGCAGTGTTTGCTAGCACTAGGGAAAGAAAATGCATGGCAGAGTTGTGTCTTCGGGTAGACTATCTAGCATGCGGAGTTTAGTGTGTGAAACAGTGTATGACATTGCTGTATCAAAGTTGTAAAATTAAGCATTATTTATTGAAAACTATGTATTTTTTTGTAAAAACCTGATCACATAGAGAATATCAGTGGCTTGTGCTTGTGCTTCAATCGAACCAGCTTCTTGACCGCCCTCCTTGGTATGCAGTGTTAATGCTCAGGGTTGAAAATAGTACACTCCAATGTCTCTTTTGCAAGAGTTTTTCACAGAGGAATACATTTGTTCATAAGACTCTAATAAAATTGTGTGATCAATCTCCACTTGTGGTTTTACGTGACTTTTCTCCAGTTCTGCATTGGATAACTACTGTCTAACGCCTCACGTGTGGTCTCCAAGCTGAGGTTGCGGCCAGGCCGAAGAGGCCTGCTGGCTGGGCACCCAGCTGGGAGTGGATGCTCTGGGCAGGTTGGAGTTGGAGAGCTGCTGAGAGCTGGGATGAGCATGGTGATCATGGCTTGATATTTTTATCTGGCTGATAGARTGAATAAAAGCATAGACCAAGTAGAGAAGGGTAGGTTAACATGTTTTGTCAGAAATGTATGAAGTAGAAGATGAAGGAAAAATATCAGGGGCAATTGCTGCTATTGAATTCAATGCCAGCAAACTATTCCTCTGTGTCTTCTTCTCTCTTTCTCTCTTTTTTTTTTTCCTCTCTTCCTCTCTAAACAATTTACAGTGTAAATGTATTTTGACATAGAAATCATTCTGTATTGAGATTCTTGATATAAAATGCTTTTATGAAAGCCTGTAAGTGATCCTTGGAATTATCAGATTTTTTGAAAGATGTGTTTACATGGTGAGTGTTTGTTGTATATTAAATTTGGTTTTGTAGAAACGATTGTGTTGTATTGTAACCAATTTCGTAGTGCACAACTAACACAGACCACTCTGAGGTTCTTGGTTATATCGATTTCCGCTTCAAGCCAAAGAGAGGATCAGACCTATGTATGGCAACTCTTTCCAACAATTATATAAAGTATTTTTTACTTCAGTAGTTTCACTTCATTTTGAATATTTTGAGGATGTCTTCCTTCCTTGGTAGGATTTTATTAATTATATTTCAAAGGAAACAAAATCAACCCTGTCAAAGTTTCATCTAGTAAACAAAGTTCCTTGCAGTTAACACATCAGGACGCTCAGGGTGTTCAGCCACTCCCAGGGCCACCACACACTGAGGTGGGTTTTTTAATTCTAATTAAATTTATTGGCAATTCTGGCTGAAATATCACTGATCGGGATTTTTTAAAACACGTGCACCGATTCACCTACTTTTTCCAGCAAATGCAGGAGGGAGAGGGCCCAGTGATGGCCCCCCGACCCAGTGCCAGGGAGTCACAGGGCCACCGCGTCTCAGGGAGGACGATGTTCTCATCAGAAAGCGCTTTCCTTCCACTGAAAGGTCGGGCCTTCGGCCAAGGAGTGGCTGGGCCGGCGGAGACAGCCGAGTCCTGGGTTCGCCTCTGGTCAGGGCCCGTGGAATCACACAAGTACCTTTGGGTACCTGGAGGAGGACGCAGGGCGGAGGTGCTGCCAGGGCCACGTTTGCGCTGGGGAACTGAGCGGCAGG